AATCCCGGCGGCCCTCCTTCCCATCCAACTCCCTGCTTATGGCCTGGGAAAGCAGTCGAGGATGGTCCAAAGCCTTGGGACCCTGCACTCGCATGGGAGACCTGGAGGAAGAGCTCCTGGCTCCTGGCTTTGGATTGGCTCAGCTCCACCATTGCGGTCACTTGGGGAGTGAGCCATCAGACAGAAGATCTTCTTCTCTGTCTCTCCTCCTCTCTATATCTGACATTCCAATAAAAATAAATAAATCTTTTTTTAAAAAAATAAAGAATGTTCTCTGTACTTCCTCTCAAGTCAGCACAGTGAGGAAAATTCAAAAAGCCACATACCTGACTCGCAAGCCATCCTTGGAGCTACAGCGTTTGGGTTGCTTTCCAACGCACTTGGAATCCCAGGCCACAGAAGCCAGAGGTAGCTCAGCCTGTGTCCTGCTTGGAGGGCATGACCTGCTCTGTCCTGCACAGGTGCCACGTTAGCCTTATAGGAGGACAAGGTCTTGTGTGTGCTCTGGCTACATGGGCTGTGTGTCAAGAGGTTCGTGGAGACCTGCAGGGTTACGGAAGAGAGGAGCTGAGTTAATCATCCTTGCCTATGGTTCCCTAGGCAACGCCCCCTTAGGGTACCAGCTAACAAGAGCCCTTCCCTACAAACTCCCTTGGGAGGTGTTGGTTGTCAGCAGCCTACAAACTGCCAGCCAGACACCACACACAGACTCCAAGGTATCTACCTCCTGGGGAGTAGGCCGCTGCATATGTGTAGGTGCCAAGCAGGACACAGCGCCCAGCAAGACACAGTATCTTACTGGGTGTCTATCAGTTCGATTCTGAATGGACCCCATAAACAGATGCATGCACTGGGCATGGCCTCTGCCACTGAACCCCCGTTCTGCAGAGGCCTGGCTCATGAGAAACAAGAAGCAAGTGCAGCTCTGGAATCCCCATGTCAAATTCTTGGGGCCAGGACGTTTCAAATTCTAGACTGTTCAGATCTTAGAATACTTGCATACACATGAGATATCTCGAGAATAGAACAGAAGTTTAGACACGAATTCATTTTTTAAAAACAGATTTATCTATTTTTACTGGAAAAATCTGATTTATTTTTTTTAAGATTTATCTATTTTATTACAAAGTCAGATATATAGAGAGGAGGAGAGACAGAAAGGAAGATCTTCTGTCCGATGATTCACTCCCCAAGTGACTGCAACAGTCGCTGCTATGCCAATCTGAAGCCGGGAACCAGGAACCTCCCAAGTGGGTGCAGGGTCCTAAAGCTTTGGGCCATCCTCAACTGCTTTCCCAGGCCACAAGCAGGGAGCTGGATGGGAAGTAGAGCTGCCGGGATTAGAACCGGTGCCCATATGGGCTCCCAGTGAGTTCAAGGTGAGGACTTTTAGCTGCTAGGCCATGCCACTGGGCCCGGAAAAATCTAATTTAAAGAGAAGGACACACTCAGAGATCTTCCACCTACTGATACATCTCTCAGATGGCCACAACAGCTGGAGCTGTGTTGGTCCTAATCCAGGATCTTCCTCTAGATCTCCTACGTGGGTGCAGGGTCCCAAGGCTTTGGGCCGTCCTCTACTGATTTCCAAGGCCACAAGCAGGGAGCCGGATGGGAAGTAGGGCTGCCGGGATTAGAACCAGCACCCACATGGGATGCTGGCACACAGATGGAGGGTTAGTCTGATAAGCCACCAGCCCAGCCCTGACTCATGTTTCATTTGAGTTCATACACAGAACCTGATGGTAATTTTACAGAACACTTGTAGAGCACCTCTGCTTTGACTGGGATCCAACACCCGAGGTCTCCTGCCAGCATTCAAGGAATTAAGGATTTGGAACTATCTGGGGTGTTAGATTTTAGGTTGGGCATGCTGAACCAGTAGGGCTACTGTGGAAAGGGTGGATGTGGCAGAATGACTGCAGGAGACAGTTGCTCACGGACATGGAACAGGTGGCAGACAGGCCTCTGCCCGCCCGTGACAGGGCAGCAAGGCCCTCCTGCTCAGAGAATTGCTACCGGGAGACAGGCTCATTTTATCGCTTGCTTTTCAGAACTACACAGAAGAAAGCCATTTAGGCCCCTAACCCCTTAGCTGAACTGGGAAATTTCAATTTTGTATTGGGAACCAGAATCATGGTGGCCAAGTTAACTTGGCAGCCAATGAGGGCTGACCTGTCTTCAGAGACGAGGATGGAACTGAAGCATCAACAACTGCACATCCCATCAGAGTTAGACCCATGGTTTGATTTTAGGGTCCATCCTAGACTCCCCTGGACATATCATGCCAATACAGCCTTGTTAGATTCGCTGCTCACCAAAATGTTAGATTCACTGACCACCAGGGAAAGAATAACTCCGCCGAATACATAAAAATAATTTAGATGGCCTTTATTTCAGGGAACCATGGTCACAGGCTTCCCTTTCCTGTGCAGGAGACACACGTAAAGAAGTGGCTGCAGAGGAAGAAGAGCGAGGAAGAGACGGGGAAGGAGCCCTCTTGAACTCTTCTTGACACTGAAGATGGAACGGGATGGGGGCCCTCATTTGGTGGGGGGATATGGGTCTGTGCCCCTCATTGGTGCAATGGTGGTCTCAGCCTCAGGGGACCGCCAGAATGCCACCATCCCTTCCGGGTCTGGCTGGAGGCAAACTCTGCCCTTCTCTGGTTACCGTGATAGCTATCAAGGCTCTACACCATATTCTTAAGAAAATTCTGATTTTTTAAAAATTCAGCATAGCTCCATGGTTCAGACACAGGACAGGAGATCTGTAAAATTCAGCCTCAGAGTGAGAATTTGCCCGTGAGTTGCTTAGCACCTTCATAAAATAGAGTTTCTGCTGCCCTACGATAAGTGAGTATCTAACCCTGACCCTAACTGTGCTCCCTCACCCTGTGAGAAAACACTGTCAAGTCACTGAACACAGCCCAACTACTGAACGTTGTGGATCCCAGACGCTGCCTGTGTTTACAAGGGCTGCCCCTCCTTACAGGCAAAACAGCTTCATTTCTTCCCTTCATATCAGTAAGAAAAGAGGCATCCACCTAGGGCAAACATGAAACAGGCTTTCCACAAGTTTCCAGCAGATCGAAGAGTAACTAAAGCTAAGGCAACATGCTCCATGTCTCCTGTGTGCCAAGTCATTTTTCAAGGAGATGATGGGATAGGGCTTGATTTTGAAAAGATTTGCTTGTGGGCCCGGCGGCGTGGCACTGCAGTTTTAGAAGGGATACAGAAGACAAGGTAAAATACAAGTCAGGGAACAAGAGAAATCATTCCGTGGAATCAGAATAAGCATTTTGAAGTTCAGGGGAACGCCCCATGTTTTCATTTGGAGGGAAGCCCCATGTGTAATTGTCAAATGATGCTGTGCGTGTGAGAATACCAGAGTGACAGGCCTAGCACGAGGCCTCAATTGTCTAGTCCTCTTAATAAAGATTTATTTTTTATTGGAAAGTCAGATATATAGAGAAGACAAACAAATCTTCTGTCTGTTGATAATTTTTTTTTAATTTTAGTTTTATTTATTTTTTTAAAAGATTTATTTATTTATTGGAAAGTCAGATATAGAGAGGAGGAGAGACAGAGAGGAAGATTTTCTGTCTGATGATTCACTCCCCAAGTGACTGTGACGGCCGGTGCTGCGCCGAACTGAAGCCATCCTCGACTGCTTTCCCAGGCCACAGCAGGGAGTTGGATGGGAAGTGGAGCTGCCAGGATTAGAACCGGCGCCCATATGGGATCCTGGTGGGTTCAAGGTGAGGCCTTTAGCTGCTAGGCCACGTCCTTGGGCCCCTGTTGATAAATTTTAAAAACAAAACCAAAAATACTCAAGCCCTGGGGTACACATTTAGTCTAGTGACTAAGACTACCACATCCTACATCCTAATAGCTGGGTTTGATTCCTGGCTCCATTTTAAGATTTATTTGTTTTTTATAGCAAAGGCAGATATATAGAGAAGAGGAAGATCTGTCTGCTGAATCACTCCCGAAGTGGCCGCAACAGCCAAGACTGAGCAGATCCCAAGCCAGGAGTCTGGCGCCTCTTCCAGGTCACCCACGCAGGTGCAGGGTCCCAAGGCTTTGGGCTGTCCTTGACTGCTTTCCCTGACCACAAGCAGGGAGCTGGATGGGAAGCGGGGCTACCAGGATTAGAACCGGCACCTATATGGGAACCTGGCGTGTGCAACGTGATGAGAGGACTTTGACCACTAGAATATTGTGCTGGGCCCTGGTTCCAGCTTCTTAGTAAGGCAGATCCTAGAGCAAATCACTGGGTTTCTGTCATCATGTAGAGATCTAGGCTCAATTCTGGATTAAGTTCCTGGTGCCCAGCTTTGGTGTGAGCCCAGGCCTAGCCCTTGTGGGCATCTGAAGAGTGAACTGGTCCACTTGCAAAGTGGCTGCAATGGCTGGAGCTGAGCCGATCAGGAGCCAGGAGCTTCCTCCAGTCTCCCACGCAGGAACAGGATCTCAAGGCTTTGAGCTGTCCTCCACTGTCTTCCCAGGCCACAAGCAGGGAGCTGGATTGGAGGTAAAGCAGCTGGGACATTAAATGGCACCCATATGGGATCCCTGTTCTTGCAGGGAAAGGGTTAGCTCTTGGAGCCATTGTGCTAGGTGCTAATTCCATGTTTTTCATGAACAATTAGCAGGACAAAGCCATGAGCCAGGAATGCCACCAGAGCCCTTCACATGGGTGGCAAGTTCCAGGCCCTGACAGCAGCATCATCCATTGCCTTGCCATCAGTGCGAGCAGGAAGCTCGGTCAGGAGCAGAGTGGGCAGGGCTCTACTAGGGGTGTGTGGTGAGTGGTAGTTTAGCCTGCTGGGCCACAGTACCTACTTCTTGAATAGCTCCTGGCATTGTAATGTCGGAGCGCTTTGAGAGAACCTGGGGCTGGAGTGGGGCTGCTTGTTACTTGCTGCTGCCTAGTTTATGAATCACGTGCTCAATTTTTCCAATAAAAAACAGTAGGAAACAAAAAGAGGCCTAAGCACATTTGCAGGCTATCTTTAATGAGTCTTAAGACAGCAGGGTGAGGTCCCTGCATTGTTCTCTGTGTAGCTGCTACAATAAATTCTTCAAATGAGAAGTGACACCTGCCTGTTTCTCCTCAGGCAGTGTTTTCCTGTTCTCAGACGGTGGTGTAAAGGGATGGGTACAAGACACAGTCCAGCATGGAATCTAGCCCATGAGGGAGGGAGTGAGACATGGATGGAAGATCTTTGCAGAGATTAAGAAACGAGCCTGCAGGGTGGAAGGCAGCGTCATCTTCCCTTGGTGCGATGACACACAGCACAACTGTCCTCCAAGGCTAGCTGGAGAGGACCGGAGGCTCAGCTGCAAAGGAAGGCAGAGGCCACACCCGATGGCATTCCATGTCTTTAACCCTGGGCTGGGCATCAACTGCCCTTTCCAGAATAGGCCAGGGCAGACAAGTCCAGCTTCGTCTTTAAGGCTTCAGTCAGCTCCGTGGCCAGCAGCTGGTGGAGGGAGACACCATCGTGAGAGTACACCCAGTTCTTTCCTGTCCAGTCGTAGCGCTTGGGCCCACTGGAAAACAAAGCAAACAGTGAGTCCACGAGGACAGACCTGTAGAAGAATCCTGAATTTTGCAAACACTGCTGCTGAGAACATGGCCAGAGTGATGCGCTAGAGAGTGGTAGCTCAACTGCCTCTTGTGATGCCCTTCTCCCATTATGGAAGGCAAGTTCAAGTCCTGGCTATCTTGCTTCTGATCCAGCTTCCTGTTCATGTGGCTGGAGGCAGTGAACAATGGCTCACATGCTCAGAACACTGACACCAACGTGGAGTTGTGTGCCTGGCTCCCCTGGCCCAGCTGTGCTGCTGCAGTTATCTGGAGAATGAATCAGTGGGTAGAAGGCTGTCTCCCTCTTCTGCTCAGCCTTTCAAGCAGATAAAACAAACATGGCAAAAAAAGAACTGGAAACACTGTTCTGGTCTATGGGACACCATCAAACAACTGAATACAGTTTCAAGAGTTCCTGAAGGAATGTAACAAAAGAATGCCCAAGAAAGCCTACTTCATGAGGGTCTGGCATGATAGTATAGTGGCCGAATCCTTGCCCTACATCTGCCAGCATCTCATACGGGCACCAGTTCGTGTACCAGCTGCTCCACTTCCCATCCAGCTCCGTGCTTGTGGCCTGGGAAAGCAGTCGAGGACGGGCCAAAGCCTTGGGACCCTGCATCCTCGTGGGAGACGCGGAAGAGGTTCCTGGCTTTGGATCAGCTCATCTCTGGCCGTCCTGGCCACTTAGGGAGTGAACCAGCTGATGGAAGACCTTCCTCTCTGCCTTTCCTGTAAATCTTGCCAGTAAAAATTAATTAATTAATTAATTAAAAAGTACAGCAAAAGGAAGCCCACTCCATGAAACAAAACCAGAACATTCCCCCAATTTGCAGGAAGCTATGGACATCCAAATGTATGAAGTACAAAGAACTCATAACAGGCATGAGTAGAGAAAACTCTCACTACACACATTACAGGCAAACTTTCAGTGGTAAAACGTGAATCCGACAGCCTGAAATTTCCAAGACAGAGAGGTTGGGGCAGTTTAAAAGGAACTCCTATCAGACTGACAGGAGATTTCTCAATAGAAGTCCTGCAGGCCAGGACACATGGAGAGATGGCGTGTCAAGTTCTAATAGGAAAAAAAGTGTCAGCCAATCCAGATTACCTCATCCTACAGAACTCATTTATAAATAAAAGTGAATTAAAGATCTTCCAAAATAAGCAAAAATCTGGAATAAAACATTTTTTAATAATAAAAAACCCCAAAGATTACAAATAGGAAGGAAGGAAGTCAAAAAAATCTATTTGTAGATCTATCATGTAGACATGATCCTATGGGGGATCCAAAACACTCCAACACTATTCACACTTGTAAGAGAACTTGGCAAAGTTGCAGAATTAAAAAAATTTTTTTTAAATAGATCTGCACTGATACCGCTGATTTTATTATTATTATTTTTTTTTATTGGAAAGGCGGATATACAGAGAGGAGAGACAGAGAGGAAGATCTTCCGTCCGATGATTCACTCCCCAAGTGAGCGCAACGGCCGATGCTATGCCGATCCGAAGCCAGGAGCCTCTTCTGGGTCTCCCACGCGGGTGCAGGGTCCCAAAGCTTTGGGCCGTCCTCAACTGCCTTCCCAGGCCACAGGCAGGGAGCTGGAAGGGAAGCGGGGCTGCCGGGATTAGAACCGGCGCCCATATGGGATCCCGGGCGTGCAAGGCGAGGACCTTAACCACTTGCGCCACCGCGCTGGGCCCCAGAATTAAAATTAACATAGAAAAAAGTCAATAGCCTTTGTACATATGAACAATGCATAACTGAAAAAAAAAACTGGTAAGATCAGTTCTATTTACAATAGCTAAAAAAAGATTTAAATAGAATGGGATAATTTAACCAAAGACGTGAATGATCCCTATGATAAAAATTAAAAGCATGAAGAAAGAAGACACCAAAAAAATAAAAATCTTCCACGCTGATGGACTGAAAGAATTAATATATTCAAAATATCAGCATCACCCAAAGCAATTTACAGATTCAAGGTGATCCCAATCAGAAAACCTAAATTCATATGGAAACATAACAGACTGAGAAAAAGCCAAAGCAATTGTCAACTTGTAAAAAAATATATTAATTATACACAAAGAGCTGAGCACAGATTCCTCGGGCCACATAAGAGTTTGATTAGGCTTGGCATGATGGCTCAGTGACTAAATCCTCGCCTTGCACATGGGGTGGGACCCCATATGGGCTCTGGTTCTTGTCCTGGCTGCTCCACTTTCCATCCAGCTCCCTGCCTGTGGCCTGGGGGTGGGACCTCCCTGCTGTGTTCATGGCAGTCCTTAACCAGTGTCAGCACCAGGCCAGGGTGGGACCTCCCTGCTGTCTACATGGCAGTCCTTAACCAGTGTCAGCACCAGGCCAGGGTGGGACCTCCCTGCTGTCTACATGGCAGTCCTTATCAAGTGTCAGCACCAGGCCAGGGTGGGACCTCCCTGCTGTCTGCATGGCAGACATGAGCTTTCCATCTATAGAAAAGGAGTCCCCTCTTAGGGACGTGAAACCAGCACTCCTCATAAGGGACTGCTGGATTTGAAGTGCTGCAGCAGATGCTTGAACCCATTCCTCCAGAGGGGAAGGTGGGCTTCTTACACAACCACGGCCAGGATGACTCTGAGACCCAAGAGAGTAAGCTCCTGAGCCCACCAACCTCATGAAGGTCTCCAAACCCATGAACGAGGGCCTTGTTGGAACCGTGTGAGTCCCCAGGCTGGTTGCGTCACACCGTGGGACACAAGAGGCATAACCCTTTACTTACTCTGAACGAACATCAACTGCCAGGAAGCCATGTCAATATCAGTGGTGGAGTCATGAGGTACCATGAGGCTTTCACAGAATTCCATGCTGGCTATATTTGAATTTTTCCCAATTTGGCCAATACCTTGTCTTTGGGAATGCTCACCAATAAAGCCAGGAAGTGCTTGATGACCCAGGGAGGCTGACCTGATGGCTGACCTGACTGTGTGTGTAGCTCTTTCCCTTTCTTAAACCCACTCCCAGAGCAGCCAGGGAGCCCAGCTTTGACCACCTGTTCTCAGGCTCTGCAATGCAGCATCAGACTGTAAACATGTGGATGGGAAGGCAGGGGACTCACTGCTTTGGGGCACTGACCTGGGGCACCCAACAGATTTCTTAAGAGGATATTCCACTAACCTTACATTGAGATGCAGAAAACAAACAAAGCAAACAAAAAACTAGAGGTCAAACTAGAACTTGCTTTGAAGACTGCAAATGGCAACCTTTCAGAGGCTATGGTACCCAAGGCAGCTTTTCTAAATGGGCAGGACAATGATTTCATACAGAAAGACCCTCCAGGCCCGGTGCCAAAGAGCTGGAAGCTTTCACTCCTGCTTTGGTCAGTGTCTCTGACAACCTGCAGTAGCCACACCAGCCCTGGCTTGAAGCTATGTGAGGGCTACACGTACCCAATGAGAAGCAGTCAGGTCACATGACGTGAGGAGAGCTCGAGTGCAGGGAGGCCAACACTTCTGCGATGGCCCACCTTGCCACACACTTCAAACACGGTCAAAGGGCACCCATTTCAACGTAAAAATAATTATCTATTTATCTTTCACTTTGATGGAAAAGCAGAGAGACTGAGATAAAGCTACAAAGAGAGAGAGAGCACGAGCAATCTACTGACTGACTTCAGAAATGTCCACTGCAGCCAGTGCTGAGCCAGCCTGAAGCCAGAAGCCAGAAATGGAATCCAGGTGTCCCCTAGGGGAGGCAGGGACAGGGCACTGAGCCCTCAGCAGCCACCTCCTGGGGCCAGCGTCAGCAGGAAGCTGGGAGCTGGACCCAAGCACTCCACTACAGGCACCTTAACCCTGCACCGCAGAGCCTGTCCCCGATGCCCACCTCTAGACACACCCAGAGCCCGCTCCCAATGCCCACCTCTAGAATCACCCAGAGCCTGCCACTGACACCCACCTCTGGATGCACCCAGAGCCCAACCCCGATGCCCACCTCTGGACGCACCTGGACGGAGAGGACAACCAGATCTGCCTGTTGGGGCTCTGCTTGTTGATCACGTAGGTGCCCAGATCTCCACCCAGGTGGATCGTCAGGACTCCACCCTAGCGGATCAGGGTGAACAGCACCAAGAGAACAAAGTTAGCACTTTGTCCCAACAGCATCACTTTCTGCACTACCTCGGCACTTCCCATTGACACAGCATACCAAGGCATTATGAAGAAATGCTCTGAATTCCACATTAGAAACAGCAGATGCTGCAGAAAGGACATGACTCACAGATTCAGAGCGGGATTAATCACAGTAACAGTCTCTCTCCTGGTGTTGTTCCTGCTCCCCATGAGGTCAGTAAAGAGGACCATGGCCACCAAGCTTCTGAGGGTTAAGTGACTTGCCCGAGGTTGGAGCGCTAGCAAGGGGACTCCTGGCCTGGGTGCCCTCACCTGCCAACCAGAACACACTAGAGGGCATTAAAAATGCAGGGGTCTGGTGTGTGGCTTGACAGGTAGAGTCACCTGCAATATGAACATTTTATATGAGTCCTGGCAGCTCCCCTTCTTATGCCGCTCCCAGCCAATACACCTGGGAAAGCAGCAGAAGAGGACCAAGAGTCCCCGATGAGGATGGAGTTCCTGCCTCCTGACTTCAGCCTGGCCTAACCCAGACTGTTGTGGGAACTGAATCAGCAAACAGAAGATTTAAAAAACACAACTGTTCGGCGCCATAGCCTAATGGCTAAAGTCCTTGCCTTGAACACGCTGGGATCCCATATGGGCGCTGGTTCTAATCCCAGAGGCCCCGCTTCCCGTTCAGCTCCCTGCTTGTGGTCTGGGAAAGCAAGGACAGCACAAAGCCTTGGGTTCCTGCACCCACGTGGGAGATCCAGAAGAGGCTCCTGGCTTCAGATTGGCACACCTCCAGCCATTGTAGTCACTTGGAGAGTGAATCAGTGGATGGAAGATCTTCTTCTCTGCCTCTCCTCCTCTCTATATATCTGCCTTTCCAATAAAAATAAAATAAACCTTTAATAAAAAATCAAACACAACTGTTGTTAAAATGCAGACATCAACTCTATGAGGATGCCCAGGGAGAGGCCAGCAGAGCCACAGTTTCAGCTCTGTTTGCAGAAGTCAGCCGCAGAGGCTCCAAACAAAGGTTACCTTTTCAAAAAAATTTTTTTTTAAAGATTTATTTATTTCTATTGGGAAGTCAGATGTACACATGGCAGCAAGGGCCGACATGTCCAGGAGCAAGGTTGTGACACAGCTGAGACACAGGTGAGGGCCAGCCCAGCAGCTCTGGTCCCAGCTGTGGAGGCTGACTGCCAGTCCCTGCCAGCACCGCCTGTGAGGGCAATTACTGGGACAGGTGTTGTGGAATGGCAGGTGAGGCCACTGCCTGAGACGCCCACAGTTTCCTGTGGGTGCACACTCTGGGAAGCAGAGGAAGGTGCGAAGGAGTAACTTTCCGAACCCAGGAGGGAGACCTGATGGAGTTGCTGACTCCTGGCATCAGCCTGGCCAGGCTGCCATCTGGTGCAGGATCTCTCTGCCCGTCAAATGAAAGCAACAAGATCAACTTAAAATCCAGAGCCAGTGTCATGGTGTGGCAGGTTCAGCCACTGCCTGTGACATGGGCAACCAATGTGGGCACCAGTTCAAGTCCTGGATGCCCTTCTTCCTATCCAGCTCCTTGTTAAGGCACCTGAACAAGTAGTGGATGATGATCCAGGTGCTGGGACCCTGCACCCACGTGGAAGGCCCAGAAGAAGCTCCTGACCCTGCACCCACGTGGAAGGCCCAGAAGAAGCTCCTGACCCTGGCTTCAGACCAGTCCAGCACAGGCTGTTGTGGGCATCTGAGGAGTGAGCCAGCAGATGGAAGATCTCTCTCTGTAAACTATGTCTTTCAAATACATAAATTAATAATAAAAACACCCATTACTGGGGTCAACATTGTGGCATAGCAAGTTAAGTTGCTGCCTGTAACGTCAGGTTCCCATGGGAGCACAATTTCAGCCCTGACTGCTCCATCTCTGAGCAAGCTCCCTCACAATGTGCTTGGAAAGGTAGCAGAGGGTGGCCCAAATGCTTCAGTGACCCAGATGGAATTCTAGGCTCCTGGCTTCAACCAGGCCCAGCCCAGGATGTGGCAGACAACAGGGGAATGAACCAGTGGCTGGAAAATCAGTCGCTCCTCTCTCTACCTCTGCCCTTCGAATAAATACATGTGGAAAAAGGGTCAAGCACTGTTGAATCAGCTCATCTGCAGAACGACACACAGGATGGCACATCCAGCGAGAGGAGTTTCCTCACACAGCACATTCCCCATTCCCAACTTCCTCCTAAGGAGTAACACATACGACTTACTTTTGTCTACATCGGAGTTAATCCTGCAGGAGTGGAAGTGAATAGTAAGCAGGCAGCCTCTACTGCATGCCAGGGACTGGGAGCACAAAGACAGATCCCTGCTGCTGGGGTGACAGTGAAGCAGATGATGACAACACAGGGGACAGAGGCCCCACGGTCAGCTCAGAGCTGGGGCAGCTGGAACCCCAGCTCCCAGGCAGAGTGTGGGGTCAAGCTAAGGCTTTATGTGAGCCACAAGAACAAGCTGGGGTAGCTGCAAGGCTCGTCAGCAGAGTGCAGCTGCTGATAGGGCTTCCCTGTGCCACAGGCCCTAGGGGGAGGCTGGTGGGAGAAGCCCTGAACTTGCCCATCTCTCACAGCATGGCAGCTCAGTATGCAGCCTGGCCCTTGGCAGTGGACTTCTGAGCACAGGGAGCCTGTCCTGGCTCTGATGCTGACAGGCAGTGGCTTCCTGCTCCACTGTTTCCCCTGGCCACTGCCAAGTCACTGCTGTCCTTAGCCAGGCCTGGCCTCCTGTCTGTGGCTCCTGCTCACTGACTGCTCCAGCACATGCAGCCCTTCCTGCGGTACCTAACAGTGTCCCTATCGCATCAGTCTGACAGCAGATTGTCCTACGTAATCTCCTGCCTTAATCCAAAAAAATGCACCCTTCCTGACATTTCCTGGGCTTAATTAATTGCTGTCAAGAGGATTAACGCCTTTGGGTGGATGGGTGCTGGGGGATTTTCTGCCACTGGCAAAAAGAGCTGCTTGAAGACCAAAGCAATAATTATAATTCCAAGGGCAGGTGCTGTGGCTGGCAGACATTCCATGTCAGAAGGCTGGCTTGACGCTGGTTGCTCCATGCTTCTCACCCAGCTTCCTGCTAAAGGGCGTAGAAAGGCAGCAAACGCTGCTACCACCCACACAGCAAAGCAAGCTGGAAGTCTGTGGCTCCTGGCTATAATGAACCAGCAGATGGAAGATCTCTCTCCATTTATCTCTCCGGTCAACAGGGAGCAACAGCCCTACTTCTCAAAGAAATAAAATAATTCCAAAAACAAAGGCTGCTTCTTGCTCACATGTGCCACCTGGTGGCCACTTAGTGAAAACCAGCGCCTCTGGCTTACAGGTTGAGGCCAAGGTCTCAGCCAGCTCACAGGTTTGCATACTGCTTGGTGCATATTTAGAATCCCCAGGAGAAGGTGAAAAATCCTGGTGCCCTGCCTAGGCCACACCCTAGGCCAATTAGATCAAAATGTCCAGGAGTGGGACTCAGACACATTAGAATCCCAAGAGTTTTTTTGTTTTAAATACACTTCTCAGGAATCTGCCCAACCCACAAGTCTTGCAGGCGTGAGACGAGGCCACAGGGTCTAAGCCACTGGCTTCAGGGTTCACGGCCGAGCTCAGTGTCTTCCAGGCCTCCACCTGCCAGCCAGAGCTGCATTCATCCTTCCCTGGGGGACCCGCACAGCCAGGACCAGAAAAAGGAAGAGAAGCCAGGAGGGACAGGCATCTGTGCCACCTGTGATGCCTGTGCTCTGTATGGGACAGCCTGCCTCAGTCCTGTTCTCCCACCTTTGACCCCCTTCTGCACACGCTGGGAGGCAGCGTGAGGCCCAGCCAGGGCTACTCCTGGCATCTGGGGAGGAAGCCAGAGGACAGAAGACCTCCCTGCTTGGCGACTTTCAAGTAAAACGAACATCAATCATCTCTTTAAAAAAGGAATAGCAAAAAGCCCAGAGTTACCCCAAAGGAGACATCGTAGTCCTTGAGGGTATAAGGCTTGTCTGCCAGGTCTTCAAAGAACTCCGCCAAGGAATCCAGCGTCTCCTCCGCCAGCCGTTCATATGTAGTCTCGTCCAGAGAGCTGTAGGAGAAACCAGCAAAGATGGACAGTTACCCAACCCCCTTTTATTAAATAAGCAAATATGTATGGCTGACGTCAAGTCTTAATGACCAATGGACACACAGAGTAAAATTTCAACACAAAAGAGATTTCAGGGCCCAGTGCGACGGCTCAATTGGCTAATCCTCCCATGGTAAGCATCAGGATCCTATATGGGCGCCGGTTTGTGTCTCGGCTGCTCCACTTCCCATCCAGCTCACTGCTTGTAGTTGGGGAAAGCAGTGGAGGACAGCCTAAAGCTTTGGGACCCTGTACTCATGTGAGAGGCCCAGAGGAAGCTCCTGGCTCCTGGCTTCATATTGGCTCAGTTCTGGCCACTGTGGTTATTTGTGAGTGAATCGATGGATGGAAGATCTTTCTGTAGATCTGCCCTTCAAAAAAAAAGTAATTAAAAAAGATTTCAGATACAAGCCAAGAGGCAGTCCCTTCCCCCATGGACAGCTACAAACAGCTTATTTGTGTCCTTTTAAAACTTTTTTTTGGTAAATATACAAATAATACAAATAAAGCATTTCTCACATGATATGTTTAGCTGCTTCACGTGAGCACTGTATTTTGTTATTTATTCAACTCACCCTTCAGCTGGCCATGACGGCTGTTTCCATTGCTTCTGTAATTAAGACGTACACTGGGCAAATTACTGAATGGGAGAAAATAACGAGGGGACGTCACAGTTGGTGGGAAAATGGAATTAAGGATAGATTTATTTTTTGTGTGGAAAAATTTTCAAAGCCATGCTGTGTTTTTCATAACATGCTGTTCCCATTTTTTACCTTTCTGAAGTTCATATTTCTCATATTTTTCCTATTTCAAATTCTTATTTTTCTCATATTTGCATGGCCTGTCTGAAAGAAGGCTCATCCAGAACATATTAAAAACTCCTATAAACTGGTAAGAAATTATCCAGCACAGAAACGGACAATATACTTGCACATATTTCATAAAAAATCCAAAGTCCATGCATGTATAAAGTGTGAGATTTTGTTCATTTTCAGGAAAAGGCAAGCAGAAAGCATGGCATGATAACAACCAGAACGGCTCGATCAGCCCCGAGGAGAAGGGTGCAGAGCTTCTAGCTCTTGCCGGCCAGCACTCGATGAGCAAATCTACGAAGCCGACCTCTCACTTCACTCTGGGGGCACAGCCAACACGACGGCATGTCCAGATTCACCAAACACAGGGGCACGCTCAGGCACTCACCAGAAACAGTTACACTGACTGGGCTTCTATTTCTTGCCTTTGTTTTTTCTTTTTTAAAAGATTTATTTATTTTCACTGGAAAGGCAGATTACAGAGAGGAGGAGAGACAAAGATCTCCACTGGTTCAGTTCCTAAGCGGATGCAATGACCAAAACTGAGCCAAAACGAAGCCAGAAGCCAGGAGCCTCCTCTGGGTCTCCCATGCAGGGCAGGGTCTGGGTCTTGGGCTATCCTCTACGGCTTTCCCAGGCCACAGGCAGGGAGCTGGATGGGAAATGAAGCAGCTGGGATACAAACTAGTGCCCATATGGGATCCGGTGCATGTAAGGCAAAGATTTCTCCACTGAGCCATCACACTAGGTCCTGTGCTTCTATTTCTACAGCAGAACAGTTGAGAGCCAAACAGAAGTGAATCTAGAAGTCATATACAAACCTATGTTTGATACTTAATGATATTGCTAATATAAAGAACAATAGGCAAGACTAATCTATCATACTGGAAATCAGAATGGAAGTTATGCCAAGGGACAGGAGGGGAAGGCTTCGTGACCGACAGAGAGCATGGGGCTTGCCTGGGCCACTAACACTGCATGCCAGTTACACAAACATGCATACAGTGTTTTGTTGCAGGGACACCAGTCACTGCTGGGTGAGAAGCCCCACCTTCTCAGGTCTTGTCATGACAACGCCACGGCACACCCTAGCTAGCAGGCTGTCAGGACCACTAGCAACAACCTTCTGGCTAGGTGCCAGCGCACCCAGGCAGGTGCAGCCATGGGGCAGCATCTGAGGGCTGGGGCTCCAAGAAAGCCAGGTTGTGTGTGTGTGTGTATGTGTGTGTGTGGCAGGAGGTGGTGATCTCCACACGGAGGGCACGTCCTCTTACCCAGGGCCGCCCGACGTTCCGGATGTCCTCACAGTTGTCAGACAGACCCGGTGTTCCTTCATGACCAGGATCTGGCGGAGGCGCAGGAGCCGGCAACTCTGAAGGCAAAGGGAGGCGGAACGTGACTGTGGGTCCAGCACATATCAACTCGCCCATGTGGCTGCTTTCATTGCACTTCTACACTTGAAAGTGCAGAAACATGCTGGAGCTGTTCAGGAAGACTCCGGAGGAATATCTTTCACTGTCTCTCTTTTTAAGGCATATTCACTGGAATGACACAGTGACAGAGGGAGAGAGAGACTCTCCAGATAGCAATGGCTGCAAGAGCCAGAGCATGTCCAGATGGAAGGCAGGAGCCAGGAACTCCATCTGGGTCTCCCTTGTGGGTACAGGGGCCCAAACACTTGAGCACCCTCTGCTGCTCTCCTAGGCACATGAAAAGGGAGCTGGATCAGAAGCACAGCAGCCAAGACTCCAACTGGCACTGCAAGCAAAAGCTTTTCCAGCAACACCACAGCACCAGCCCCCAACACAGGCGCCCTTTAAAACCTGTAGCGCATCACAGTGAGTTCTCTGAGTGTCACTAATCTTACATTTACTCTCATGGTAGCCCGGAGCCACGCGTGGCTACTTAAATTCAGATGCACTGAGCTACCACAAAGTCAGTCTTCTGCTAAGGGCCATGCGTGGCTAACAGCAGGCACAGAAGATCTGCACCACGGCTAGGAGCTCCACCCAGCAGTGCCACTGGACGTCACTGGGCGGAGGGGGGGGTGCATCCTTGGAGCTCCCAGGATTTTACTGAGAGGAGAAGCAGAACGTAGCGGGAGGCAGAAGCCTGCTGAAGCCCAGAGGGAGAAGCCAGGCCATGTCCAAGGCTGTCTGACTGCCCTCAGAAGCATGAGCTAGGGGACATGACGGGTGTGACCGGCTGGTCCCCTCAACCCTGGGCTGAGGTCAAAGGATCTGAGCTGTCCACCACCAGCTCTGCTGTGTGGGTCCTGCTGGTGGGCGGGGTCCCAGTGAGAGCTGTACAGCCAAAGCTGTGCAGCTACAATGGAGCAGGCAGGCAGAGGAGGCTACAGAAGCTACGGGATGAACCAGGAGAATCACAGGGACTTGGGAAGGAGCTGAGCTGGGCTACACAGGAAAGCTTCAGGGGGCAAAACTGATGTTCCCAGAAGGTCATCAGGTCATTGGGGCTGCCAGTGCAGAGCGAAGTGGCCTATGAGGGTGTGAAGACACTGAGCTAGGCTCTGCATTGCAGCTGTCTCCAGCACAACACTCCATCACAATGACAGAGCTCCGGGGGACCACAGGGTAAAGTGAGTTGAGCTGCTGCCTGCAATACCCGCATTGCATATGAGCATTAGTTCCTGGCTACCCCGCTACAGCTTCTTCCTGCTAATGTGCCTGGGGAAGCAGCAGATGGCCCAAGTCCTGGGCCCCTGTGCCCATGTGGGAGACCCAGATAAGCTCCTGGCTTCAGTCTGTGAAAAAACAGAGGCAAAATCCCTTTGTCTCTCCTTTTGTTTGTAATGCTGCTTTCCAAATAAACGAAAAAAATAAGAAGGCATGGCTCCTGTCAAGGTTGGAGGCTGCCCAGGGAACTAGGGGTATACCAAAATGGCCGGAGCTGAGCTCATCCCAAGCCAGGAACTGGGAACCAAGAGCTCCTTCGGAGTGTCCCATGTGGGTGCAGGGTGCCAAGGCTTTGGGCCGTCCTCGACTGCTCTCCCAGGCCACAAGCAGGGAGCTGGATGGGAAGTGGAGCTGCCGGGATTAGAACCAGTGCCCATATGGGATCCTGGAACGTTCAAGGCGAGGTCATAAGCCGCTAGGCCACGCCGTCGGGCCCGACCCTTCACTTTCAATCATGAGTTTCATGTCATTTATGCGTTCACTATTTCCATAGAAACTTATCTGAACTGGAAGCCGGTGGAAGTCTGAGTCGGAGAAAAGGGAACCAAAGTCCCGTTCAGGATTTGGAAAAGCTTGATCACACGTTGAAAGCCAAGATCTTTTGGACACCAGGTTAAATGTCTTGTTACAATGAATTTCACCTGCTACTGCTAGAAATTTAGAACTCTGCAGGCAGACAGTCTAGCACTGCTGCAACAGCTGCTCCCCAAAAAGAAGCAGCAGCAGAGAAATAAGGGCTAAGAGGCCTCCAAGCAACCTCAGGCCTGAGTACCGGAGTCCAGGGAACCCTCAAGGCTTTTCAAAGGAAGACAAGACGAGGTCCAGCTGTCCCGGGCACCCAGCCACCTGCACAGGTACCCCAGGCATGTAAGGACGTGGGGACAGCAAGGCCAAACCGTGGAGATGAGCTGAGGATGGGAGCAAGGATGCTGACCTGCCACCAGGAGCCTGAGAAAGAGCTCCACTGCAGGCCAGCATGTGCCCAGGGTCGCTGGGTGCCACCCTTGAATCGGCAGCCCTGGCACCCAGGAGATCCTGCCCCAAAGCTTCCACCTCCTCACTCTCCCTCAGCTGAACACAGACCAAGCCACCAAGCGCCGAATTTCAGTGTCAGTGCAAACTTAAGTCTCAAAACCAAACCCCAGAGCCACGCGCTTTGGGACAAACCTCACCTGTTGTCCTCCTCCCCCGGAAACACAGGCGGCTACACAGCTACTCAGACGGGCCCTAGAGTGGGGACGGGGCCAGGTGGTCCTGGGTGCCCCTCCCCTCAACTGGCAGAATTCACCGCGCCTGTAAATTCTTAGCCCTCCAACTTAGTCCTCCCACCCGCAACTCTATCTGCTGTCACAGAGTGGGCTTCTCCCGCGGACACAGGGCTCTGCTGCATGTAGACTCAGTCCATTTTCCCAAAGCAGAAGCCCCCGAAGGGCCCTGTCAGCGCATCCCCCCGGCCTCTGTCCGCGCCCCCGACCCCCGTCAGCGTCCCCGACCCCCCACCCCCCGACCCCCGCCCTGTCCGCGCCCACCGTCCCCCCACCCCCCGACCCCAGCCCTGTCAGCGCCCCGACCCCCGCCCTGTCAGCGCCCCGACCCCCCGACCCCCGCCCTGTCAGCGCCCCGACCCCCCGACCCCAGCCCTGTCAGCGCCCCGACCCCCCGACCCCCGCCCTGTCAGCGTCCCTGACCCCCCGACCCCAGCCCTGTCAGCGCCCCGACCCCCGCCCTGTCCGCGCCCACCGTCCCCCCACCTCCCGACCCCCGCCCTGTCCGCGCCCACCGTCCCCCCGACCCCCGCCCTGTCAGCGCCCCGACCCCCCGACCCCCGCCCTGTCAGCGCCCCGCCCCCCGACCCCCGCCCTGTCAGCGCCCCGACCCCCCGACGCCCGCCCTGTCAGCGCCCCGACCCCCCGACCCCCGCCCTGTCAGCGTCCCTGACCCCCCGACCCCCGCCCTGTCAGCGCCCCGACCCCCGCCCTGTCCGCGCCCACCGTCCCCCCACCTCCCGACCCCCGCCCTGTCCGCGCCCACCGTCCCCCCGACCCCCGCCCTGTCAGCGTCCCTGACCCCCCGACCCCCGCCCTGTCAGCGCCCCGACCCCCCGACCCCCGCCCTGTCAGCGCCCACCGTCCCCCCGACCCCCGTCCTGTCAGCGCCCCGACCCCCCGACCCCCGCCCTGTCCGCGCCCCCGACCCCCGTCAGCGCCCACCGTCCCCCCGACCCCCGCCCTGTCAGCGCCCCGACCCCCGCCCTGTCAGCGCCCACCGTCCCCCAGACCCCCGCCCTGTCAGCGTCCCCGACCCCCCGACCCCCAGACCCCCGCCCTGTCCGCGCCCCCGACCCCCGTCAGCGCCCACCGTCCCCCCGACCCCCGCCCTGTCAGCGCCCCGACCCCCGCCCTGTCAGCGCCCCGACCCCCGCCCTGTCCGCGCCCCGACCCCCGCCCTGTCCGCGCCCCGACCCCGGTCCACGAGGAAGCGGCCTCCAGCCCCGGCCGTGCGCGCCCTGCCCCCGCCGGAAGCGCAAGGCCGGCGCGCGGATACTCACGGCGGGGCCCGGCTCGCAGGCCGCGGCTGTGGCGGAGCGCAGGCCCCGGGGGCCGCAGGGCCGGGCGGGCTCCTCCGGCCGCGGGGCGCCGGCGCGGGCCTGGGCGGGCAGCGCGGACGCCGAGCGGAGCCGCAGGCCGGCAGCCGCGCGGAGGCCCAGCGTCCACATGCCGGCGCTGCGGACGCGCGGCCGGCTCCGCCCTCCGGCGCGGGCACCCGCGGCGCCCCCTGGCGGACGCGCGCTGTAAGGGCCGCGGCCGGGGAGAGGGTGGACCTCGGCGAGAACCTGCCCATCATCACAACACGGAGATGCTGGCTCGGTGGTGCTGTCCTGCCGTAGAAGGCCCCTGATTTCAGACTAGCTGGTGGGTGTCCTGCCACTGCGGAATTCTCTCCTGGAGCTGGCTGGCCTGCAGGGCTGCTGGAAGGGGCACAGCCCGGAGCCTGCCTGCCTGCCTGCCTGCCTGCTCTAAATCCCGGTTGTGTCGGCTAGGAAGCTGCTCCACTTCTGATACAACCCCCTGCTGACAACCCAGGAAAGCAACGACGCCTAGCTCAAAAGCCTTGGACCCCTGAACCCCAGTGGGAGATCCTGAAGACACTCCTGGCTCCTGGCTTCGGAGTAGTTCCGTTCCAGCCATTGTGTCCATTTGGGGAGTGAGAAAGTGAATGCCAGCTTTCTCTATCCCTCCCTCATTCTCTGTAACTCTGCCTTTCAGGTAAAACAAATACACCTAGTATCATAAAATGATAATAGTAAAAAAAAATCATAAAAATTAGAAATTAAAAATAAAAGAGGGCCCAGCATGTTAGCCTAGAGGCTAAAGTCCTCGCCTTGCATGTGTTGGGATCCATATGGGCACTAGTTCGTGTCCTGGTAACCCTGCTTCCCATCCAGCTCCCTGCTTGTGGCCTGGGGAAGCAGTCAAGGACAGCCCAAAGCCTTGGCATCCTGCATCCGTGTGGGAGACCGGGAAGGGACTCCTGGCTCCTGATCAGCACAGCACTGGTCATTGCAGACACTTGGGGAGTGAATCATCGGACAGAAGATCTTCTCTGTCTCTCCTCCTCTCTGTATATCTGACTTTCCAATAAAATAAATAAATAAATAAATAAATATTAAAAACTA